CATGTTAAAAGAATCCCAATTCCTTCTGGTGTTAACACCACCTGTGAATCCATGTCTGTCACTGCATATTCTAAAATACACCCTGCATTTGAATTTCTGCCTTTGCACAGAGATTTGATAACAAACCTAACATAACAAACTAAAACCGCATAAATACTACATAATTTTACCATTTATAAATATGGAAAATACAAATCTCAAACACAGGAGATGCAATGCAAAAGATAGAGGACTGTATTAAAACTACATCTTTTAGAGCTGCCCTGTAGTAACTCAGAAACACTGGGGACTGACCTAGAGGTATTTATCGAACAAATAAGTGGATTTGATTTATTTAACTGAGAAGAAGCTGCACGACAAAAAAATACAGCAGCTCAAGGTAAGTCTGTCAGCAGGATTTAAAAAGGCTTATGAAGATCATACACCCATTCTTTAAGACTACTGTTTTGATACATTTTGTATTTAGTCTTCTTTTAGGAATATTTTGCTTCTGTATGCATATGTAATTAAGGCCTCTGCACACTATGAAAATATAACAGTCTAAACCAGAAATAAACATTCTCAGGTGACATTTGAAAAGTGAATTAACAGGTAAATATGACCCAATCACTATATTCTGCTTTGATAGCCACTCAACTCAGACATGGAATATGATTACAGATCATATAAAATATCTGAACTACTATAAAAACCTGATTGAGGAATAATGGCTCATTGTTGTATCATGACTTAATCTTGATTCATGTTATTGAAAAGAAACAGCAACTTGAATACCATGGAAATTTGCTTTTCTTGTTCTGAAAACTTCCATGATTTGTAAGGTTATAAAAATCGATTCTAATTTAGATCCTTTTTACCAAATATGGGCCATGCATGTAGGTAGACTTGACACTTTAAAAGGCAAGAACTAAGTACCTCTGTACGAGACTCTTTGCTTTAATGGTCGCAAGCAGAATGGCTGGTACATTAATCTTCACAGTTACAAAACTCATTGAACTAGAACGTGATAAGAAATGTTTTCATCTTTCAGGATAGAGCTCAAGATTTCAAAATGTTCTCTCTAAACCTGATTTTTTAAAAGAAATTGTGACTTGGTAGTAAATTAAGAAAAAAAGCAGTAATCACAAATAAAAGTTAGCTCTGGTACTTCTGAGTCAACTGTGTCACACACTTGTTGCTGAAAACTACTGCGCTACTGCCACCACTTACCATTTACGCATGAATTTGGTCTTTCATTATTAAAAAAAAATCAGTTTGAAAGTACTTCTGCATTCAAAATAAACAGCCCTTAAGACAAGTGTCTTCTGGGGGTTTTAGCCACTTCAGTCAACTTCTGAGAACAACGCTACTAACCAGTGGTGAAAACCAGACTTTGCTCCCTAAGTGTTAGGGCGAACTCATGAAAGTTGAATTCTTTGATTGTTCTTCAGCTTTGCACCCTGATGCCATCTGCTTGTTTCAAATCCGTTTCCTCCTCTTGTTCAGTGCACTCACATGTAATTCTTTCTTTCTAAACCAGTTTGCTGTAGTTTGAAGGGGTGAGGGGGGAGTTAACTTAGAAATCTTGTAGCAGGAACTCAAAATTTAGTGATGTAAGCAAGAAATAGAAATGCCATAGCCACTGAAGAGAAGACATGCGGCATTGCTTACTTAAAGCCCCATCCTGTCCCCCCAAGGACAATAGCTGCTACCAGGATGGCACCAGCGATGGAGCCTATTATAAGATTGGTGGCACTAGGACCTGTGATAAAGGATTATGGTAAGACAGACATAAGAACCAACCACTTTATTCACATTAAGTGAAGCAACTGAAGGGTATTCAAACAATTCAAGGAATACAGACAGCACACAAGGTGATGTCTCTAGACAATTTCAGTAAGCCCAACTTACTTTTCTTTAACAGTGAGCGTGAACAAAGCTGTTGGTCTCTGCATTATGCTATGTTGACTTCTACCATAGATAAAAATCTAGTATTAGACAGTAAATTCCATTGTGACTCACACCATTATCTAGTGAATAAACTGTCAGCTGAGGACACTAAGATATTTGTGAATAATTTATTAGTTTAAAGCAAGAAGTATGAGTGCTGTATGCTTTATGACTACAGCAAATGAGAAAGAAAAAAAAAAATCAAAAAGCCTAACTTTTTTCATGGGGGACCCTGAACTGCGGTAGATATTTTGAGTTGAGAGCATCTAGGACCACTTGCTAATCGCAGTACAGACTCCCTACCATTAAGTCAATGCTAAATTTACAAACATTTGCTTGACAAAAGCAAAGGACTATATAATAAGGAACAAAAGTTAAGCTTTCCAAACATCAAAGCATCTCTTCACCATCCTCAAGAAGCTACTTAACAACAAAATGAGGAAGGGTGGAGCAGGAAAAACAGAGCAACAAAAAGTAGCAGCACAAAATATGCTTGTGCAATTTTCTGAAGAGGGCAAAAGAACACTAAATAAGATATTCATAATTGACCCTTAAGTGCTCTACTTACACAGGGTGGAGGAAAACTGACAATAGCCTTAAGTCATTTTAATGGGTCTGTACAAAGATTTTCTGTTGAGCAGTCTTTGATGTAAAGCACCTGAGCTCAAGGCAAAATGAAACCAACCCAACAGTTCCTTTGCAGCATATATTGCATGCTTTTGATTTTAACATCTACATGTTCAGAACAGCCTTCAAAAACAGTTTTAGCCTCGTAACCCGGTCTCCCAAATCAACCCTTCTACACAGTAATTGAAATTTTCCTCGTTTAAGTGTTCTGAAATTGAGTTTGCAAAACTGTCAGACAGCTAACGTAAGGAAGAAAAAGGAGCAGCCAGAGATCAGCAAAGGAAAGAGCAAGGGCAGCTGCAACAACTCAAAGTTTTAAGCTGTTAGGTCGGTATCACAAAACCTTCTGCCCAGTCCCAGACACTACAGTAAGTACATGCCCTAAGATTTAAAACGTAATGCAGGGACCTAACTTCAGTGCATCCGTTATATGTTCCCCATATCAGTGCTTGTAGAGATCAGATTAGCTAAAAGAAAACCACATTTTAAAAATCACCTCCTGCAATTCTTACACAAAGACTGTGCAGGAATATGAGTCAGAGACTTGTCTGGAAAGAAATACAGCGAGCTTTACAGACATCAGCAGTGCACAGAATTGACAACAATAATAAAAGGTAATTTTTCACAACTTGGAAGAACGTATCTTACTTGGACTTACCTTTAAAGTCACACCTGGATCAAATCAACAGGAGTGAGCACAGTGCAGCGTAAATGAATGCCATTCCACAGGCATTATATTCCCAATTAAGGCTTGCTTTCAACTGCAGCCTAATGAGCTACTGTATCTGACTCAGATCTATGGCTTATTCTGAATTTTATTACATGCTTGCACACAACAAAAGATTTAAAACACAGTAAGTAATTTATCTGTAATAAATTTTAGAAGCCTTGAAAAAAATCTAAAGCTCTTTTTTTTTCTAGCCATGGAATGCTACCTTCCCACAAAAGAGGCACAATGATTAACTGATAGTAATATGCTCATAACTTAGGTAAGGAAGTAGCAAATCACTGCTTTTTTTTACATCCTCTTCTTATTATGTTCCCTAGTTGTTACATATTCTGTGGGAGGAGGGGAGGAGAGAAATAAATCTCTTTCATAGTGCATATCCACTCAACAAACAGCAATTTGTTCTCCCAATACAGAAAATACTCTCGTTTCTGACTTCAATGTAAAAACAAAGCTACTGGAATACTTATGATTACTAAACAGCGGCCACTTGTTTACCAGAATGGAGTCCTCCAATTAATGAATTCCTGTTTTAAAGTACAGAGATTTAAGAGGATTATTGCTAAGCTGTTTTAAGATTGTACCAGACCGTGCACATAAAAGTGCGTACAATGGGACTATTTTTTTATATTTTATACCTTACCTTACTTTTATTAATCATTATCAAGAAAATTGTATTATCAATAAACCAGAATTTTGCTAACGGTATGAAGCTCACTTTGCATCAGGACATTTTAGTTAGTGATGTTTATGAAGAAAAGTATAAATCAGTATGTTTCAGCTACATAAGCCTCTCTAGTCACTGGACTCGGATGCTTGATGTGCAAGCCAAGGTTTTTAATAACCACCATACTGTGGGGTCATTTTCTATCCAGACTATTACAAGATGCAACACTTGTTCTTCCTGCCACACTACTGCTGCAACCTGCAGACCGAGATTTGTCAGGAAGAAACATCTGCAACTGACTGCACCGTAACCACCTGGCACACCACCCTCTCCTGCAAGGCACTACCTGCACAGCTATCTTTTAGGACCCTGACACAAACCCTACTGAAGGTTCTTAAAAGAGAACACACCTATAGTTTCAATGGACTTCTGACTATTCCCTAAATCTTTACCATAGAATCACAGAATCATTTAGGTTGGAAAAGACCTTTAAGATCATCGAGTCTAACCATAAATCTAACACTGCCAATCGCTCCGAACTCTGCTATTTGTAGAAGAGACAAGTTTACTCCAGATTATCCTGGAGGTACCAGCACACTGGGGTGGTTTGACGCTTTCTTTTCTTGCATGTCATTTGGCCAGCCAAATCCTCTAGTTTCTAGGTATCCGTTTGAAGATGAAGTCTGGAAACAAAACTACTCCACCATTTCGTCCCCTTTGATTACCAAAATAAATTCATAATTGACAGTAACAGTTGCCAGGACCTGAAGGCCATGAGGAACAGAGAGGGTATTTGTGTTCCCCATGTGCTTTCTTTAAACCGAACAACAAAAAGTAGCAGCAAATTGCCTTGAATGTACATTTGTAGCTGAAAGAACCAGAGGACAAAGACTGACAGGATCCAGAAGAGAAGTAGGAATAGAAACAAAACCAATGAGTCAGGTAGCGAGTGATAAGAGCAGAGGAAAGATGTGGAAAAGCTGGAATTAGAGCAGGATACAGGAGCAAGAACAAATGGTCAGGGACATGAGTCAGAACTAAGTGGACTGAGACAGCAGGTAAGTGAAGAACTAAAACAGAAAGGCATAAGGCAGACTGTAAGCAAAAGGCAAACGGTCCTCAACGTGTAGGTAAATTCTCTGCTCTAGAATCTAGGTTCCAAACATCTACAGGCTTTACAGTCTTCAGTTTTTACAAACAGCTGTAAAAGCCACCAGTAAAACAGTGCTCTGATCTTTCTGAAGCAGGTGATCTATTACCTTCTTGCTTCTATCTGTTTTTCTATTAGCTGTCCTCCGTGAGTGCAAAGGTCTCTACTGTTCTGAGAATCCCGAGTAACAGTCCACTTCAGCAAAAGCTAAAAAAGGTTGTATCCAGGGCTGCAAACTCAGACACGCAAAAACCTCCCTGCCAGAAGACTGCCTGTGCAGCCTTCATTAGAACTGTACATGAAGAGTTTTTCACACGGCCTGATTAGAAATCACAGACTGCCTTGCTATGATTCCCCTGTCAGGCTGATGGCCCTTCACACAGCAGAAGTAATATATACTATTAGAAACGCAACAAAATTGTAGAAGAGCAGAGTAGCAGCAATTTATTTTGCAGTTTGCACAGTGAATGCAGAATGAAGACAATTCTTATATGGGAATTTTTAAATGTGTGTATATATATATATACACACATACACGTATATAAATCATAACCACTGTTAAAACTGAGGTAGTGGGCTAACAAGATTACAGTTTACTAAAGGCTATAAGATGACAAAAAAATTGCTCATATGTATTCTTTTTGTATGAATTCTGTATCTCAGCATTCTACCACCTTGAGGAAAGAGAATCTTAGCAATAGAACGCTCAGAAGCTTTGCTGTAAAACTAGTTGTCTATAGTGTTGTCATCAGCTTTCATCCTCCTAGCTAGATCATGTCACCCATTATTAGACTGAAAGCCCCACAGGTTGTAACAGACAATTTCTGCATTTTACAAAACAAGCCACGTTAGTCTATTGTGCAAAGTAGTCACAGATTTCCATTTCCCCCCATTATTTTTATAATTTGGTCTAATGGAAACATTTAGACATATAATTTTACTGCGACAATGTAAAGATTCACAGACTTCTTATTTTATGCCCCACATTATCCCAGACAGGAGAAGGTTCAACACTGCATGAGCAAACCACGTGACACAGACACAGTCAAATCACACGACAAATACTGTCACCACACAACAAAGCTAACAGGGTAATACACAGAGGACTTGGGTGCATACAGTTACCTCACACACTAGGCACCAAACATAAAACTCAGACTAAGAAAAATGCTTACTCTATTCCCCACCCTGTGCCTCCAAAAATCACCCCCAAGGCCAGAATGGTCCCTGCCACTGCACCTATTAGCCTGTTAGTGGCCATGCTCACTGTGTGGAGGGAAAAGGGAAGATTTTTTAAGGAAACGATCACATACACGTCTGAAATGAAAACATGAAGTCATTCCTCAGAGGAATATTTTATGCCATAATCCATTGTTGGATAAACAGTTCAAACCACCTAACAAACCTTTATTTACCAAATACTGCAGCCTTAAAAATTCTGAAATGGGCCATATTTGGTTTTCTTGGAATGTTTGCAAATATTTCAATGAGATGTTTTCCTGTAAATATAAGACTCTCTTAGCCTGTGATTCTACTATTTCCTTAACAAGAGAACACTCCTTAACAAGAGAACACCTTCTGCTTATTTAAAACAGCCAAAATGTGCATAAATCACCAATAAGAAAAGTTCCCTTTGATCACCAGAAACTTACTGCATCCATAATACAACTAACCAAATGAAAACTGTTTGTTTGGAAACAGTTCCATCAGAGGAATAAAAAAAAGAAAGCCAACACAACTTCTTAACTAATTCCTTTACTAGTTATTAATATTTTTCTTTTTACTGCATTTATCGTTAGGATTCTATCTCCATAACCTAAATATGGGAAAAACTTACCCTACAAATGTGCCTCAGGCAACACCCTTGAAATTTCAGTATCTTCAGATAGTCTCTCATAAGACACTGAGGCATTATTTTTAATTTTTTTCGTGGAGCCTTGTGAGAAAAAAATATCTATACATTTCTCATTTCAAAGATTAAGGGCTTGATAGATTCATTGAGCCATAAAAGACCACAAGACATCAGCTGAATTCCCTGTCTAATGGGAACTTTTCCAAGAGACAAAAGCTTTATAGGGCTTCATGCTGAAAAAAAGTCTGTTTTGAAATGTTTTTGTAATTTTTTTTCCTGTTTCATAAATATACACAGATAAACATGCGCACACTTGAGACACAAGTTTTATATTAAAAAACCCAAACAAACACTATTCTGCTAGTCAATCAAAGGTCTAATTCTGAAAATGAAATTGCAAAGGAATAAACTTGTGTGCATATGGAATGCTACTGCTAGCCAACACTCTGAAGTAATTCAAAGTTTTTTCAGTAGCTGAAAACTAAGAGCAAGAACTCTCTATCTTCCCCCAGCTGCTGGCACGCTGTGCAGGTCTGCTGCTACAGGATACAGCAGGTTGCTGAGTTTAGAGTAATTCAAGACTCATCTGTTAATACAAACATAACTAAGGACCACTGATTTTTTTAACCCTGAAATACACTGTGGAGCCAAAACCAATGGATGGATGATGGAAAGGTCTGAAAAGTGCAGCAGGAACAGCAGTCAACTGTAACTTACCACAGCAATATATAAATAAATAGCAATACTTCCTACTTATACATGCTCTAATTGTAGTAAGAAAAATTCTTGGATTTATGGTGCAATGAATCTTAAATCTATGAGGTGAATTTTCACATCATGAGTGTTCTGTTTTTGAAATGTAACAAAACTCAAATTTAGGGCTATAAAAAAGCAGGAATTTTGGTTTCTGTCTCAGACTTGTAAACTGGCATTATGACACAGGAAGTACTGGTAATAAAGGGAAAAAAACTGACTGGAAACTGCTTTAGTTCATTGGATCACTACCACACAGAAAACTATTTCTGTATTCTTCTGACAACTTTTCACAAAGGGATTCCTCTATTAGCACACAAAAGAGATTATAGTGTTCAAGCTGCCAAATTAATTTCTAGGTGATTCAACATCAAAAAATTACTACAACAATGTAAGTAAAAATAATCCATCTTTTCAAATCAGTGGGCCACCTTGTACAAAAATTCTGCTTCTTTGCAGGGGACTCCACTGAAAAATGCAGTCTAAACTTTATGTCTGAACCTACTGGCAGAAATCCCTGCAGATACTATTAATTTAAGACTTTCCCCCAGAGTATTTCAGCATCTATGTATTAATTTTCACAAAGTTATCTCCATTCTGAATTTGATGAATTAAATTGAATTACAAAAATCTAACCAAGATAGGCGTACCTTCTGTGTTGCCTTTCCTACAGACCATTTTACAAAGGAGGGAATTATTTCTTAATTACAGAACATTGAAATAAGTAATATAAAATTCATGTACTCTCAATGTCACAACTGTCAACATTGCTCTCCTCATCTACACATAAAAAGAAGTAACGAGCTCAACAGCACCGTTCTCCACTATTTTTTTTAAGACTTTAAGCAGCGTTCCACAGTTAGGAAGGTTTCTGTGAGAAATGGAATGAAAAGCAGCTTTGTAAGACAAGGTACAAACCAGGCATCTCCACACTGAGCAGCAGTGGGGTTAGGAGTCCAGGAGGCACCTTGCACACATTCCCTAATGCAACTCTGGACTGTTCCAGAGAGCCTCCTTCACAGTGGTACTTGTTTTAAGATGATCTCTTCAACAGGTCTTGGTAAAGTTCTAGTGGAACCTTTCTGCTAAGGGGCAAAAGAATAAGGTGCACAAGACAGAAGTAAAGCCTTTCTGGAGGGATATACCAAAATTCCATCCTCCCCTGAAACCCTGAATAAAGAGTATCTGATTAGAGTCTGAGCTCTAAAGAGTACATTTTTAAACAACTCTATCTTCTTCCCATCAGCCTTACATAACCAACACAAGAACTTGGACCTGGGACATAGCAGAAAAATTTTGTTTGGGTTTCTCTGTTGTTTACTGGGAACTTTATAACACCAGGTAAATATAGCTTGATGTTGGACAATGTCCCGGTGACAGGAAAGACATTTAAAAAAAATGGACAGCACAATACAAAGATACTTTTTTGGCAGATAAGTCAAAGAATCTCAAGTGCTTTTCTTCCTCTTTTTTAACGAATTATTTCCTCAATAGCTCTTCTTTATATTTATACTTTGTATCCAGTTGAAATACCTACTCAATACCTAAGACAGGTAATAATAGTTGTAAGAATAATGTAAGTCTTAAAATCTTAATTTATTTCTTTTTCCTCCCATTGAAATCTGGTTTCAAAGAATCAAAGCTCTTTTCACCAGGGACATGCCACTTTTCCCTTTCTTATGCCACAGCTCTCTGAATTAGACAACAACTAAGGGAACTGGAAACATCTAGTAAAACACAAATACTCAGTTCTCCTATAAATAATAAGAGCTACACTTAGATTCCAATCACAAAAAAAAATCATAAAAAACAGAGCATAAGGGACATAGGAAAAACAAGGAAGTACATACCATCACCTATTGCAATCTTCCCCAAATTTAGATTAGAAAAATAAAACTTTCATCAATTCTCAAAGCAGAAAGACTTCCTTCATCTACATGAAGTGGAATTTTACTGTCTAGGTCTAGACAGGACTTCACAATATTATTCTCTTTTTATATGCCAATTCTACTGCAAAATGTCCTAAATACTCGAAAGAACATCAAAACTGAAATCACACAAACCCTTGGGTCCTTCATCCTTCTTGCCACCAGTATCCCTGATGGGATCATCAATACTGCAGTCTGTCCCAGCCCAGGAGAAATTACAAATGCAAGTGGCTTCATTACTACAAACCTGGAAAATAAAATAAATTACAGCAGTTGGTTTTTAACTACATTTTATTAAGTTTATTTAACATGCAATTAGGCACTTCATTCACAGTATAAAACTTATCCATTTATACATTGCACCAGTAGCACTGAGTATGCTGAATGAGTATAATGGATCAATAACCTGGAAGTTTCCTTTAAACCTCTAAATACACTAAGATGCTAGGAGAAGAAGTGTTCCCAGTGGTTCCACCATCAGGTGCACTATACACCTGCACAGAAGATAAAAAACGAGCAGAAACCATCATCCAAAAACTCCCTGTCTAGACTAGTTAGGTCTTCACTAACCAACTATGTAGACTTTAAGCCTGGATGTCCAGAAGGAACATGTGCATTTGCATTTAAAAGGTTCAAGACATGGTCATGCTTTACAACCTCTCACGTACAGCTTGCTCCCATGTAGAAAAAATAGTAAGATTTTCATTGGTTTTGTCATACTATTTTTCTAAGCAGCAATAGGAGTGTTTGCTTATCTTCTAGAACGAAAGGAAATAACTTCAGTCTTCATTTAGATGAATGACCTCTAAGAAAGGACTTAGGACCCAATAAAATAATTGTCAGTACATTTACGAGATAGAGAAAAACCTATCAAACTGACAAAAGCTAAAATATCAAATTAAGAGGGAGAGTTGACAGCTATAAACTTCCCATATGAGAAAGAATGAACACATGGAATTTGTTGCTAGAAGATATTGCTAAGGAAAAAAAACATGACATGAGCAATAGACACAAAACAAATAATGAAGTTTTGATTATGTAACTAGGAGTGAAGTCAATCATTAGGCATCAGTTAATAAAGTCTTTTAGAAACTGGAACATAATGTCAAAACCCCAGAAAATAACCTATGCACTAATGATTACAAGTAAGTAGTACATGTAATTATTTTTTTTAATTTAACTTTTATGTCACTCTGTTTCTTAAAATATCCACTGAAGAATCTTATTTAGGATGCTAAAGACAAATACATCTTATGACAGGTTTGATCAACTGAAGTATTCTTTTAAAATTATGAACTGAATCATCCAAAGCAAAACAAAATTTAACAGTTCTCTCACCACTCATGTCACCCTCCAAATGTACTCAGACAATTTCTAGATCTCCTAGATCTTTTACTTTCCAATTTTAAAATTTGTAGTCTTGATTTTGAACTTAATCTTCTTCTTTGAAGCACTCAAATTCATCTTCAATTACACATAACAAAATGAAAAAAACCACCTTCTCGTATTAAGTCAAGCCCCTCAGGCAGGTATCTGTCCACTGAATCCCTCAGTGGAAAGTTTTCATCAATACTTTGTCAGCATCAGTTAAGACATAGAACAGGAATCTGTCCAGCAAAACATACCCAACATCTTAGACAAATGGACTTTTGAGTAGAATAACAGAATATAATGTGCTTGAATGTAAAATGATACACTTTCCATCTTAGAATCATTTAGGTTGGAAAAGACCTTTAACATCATCAAGCCCAAGCATTACCCCAGCAACGCCAGGTCCACCACTAAATCGTGTCACTGAACACCACATCTACACGTCTTTTAAATACCTCCAGTGATGGTGACTCAACTGCTCCTCTGGGCAGCCTGTTCCAGTGCTTAACAACCCTTTCCATGCAGAAATTGTTCCTAACATCCAGTCTCAACCTCCCCTGGCACAACTTGAGGCCATTTCCTCATCCTATCAGAGAAGAGACTGACATCTGTTCAAGAGAATGTATCATCTCTGTTGAGGTCAAACAGTTTAGAATTTTAAGTCACGACGTACAACTCCACAAACACAGGACCAACTTTATAAAGGTGCTAGCGTGCAGGAGAAAGTTTAATTTAAGTTGGCAAGTAGCCTGATATATGGGTAGTACATAACAGAAGTCTTTACAATAACTGATGTCAAAGCTCTTCCTTGGTAGTAATGAAAGTAACACTTTGGATATAATTGCAGAAATAATTTGACAGCTTTGCTTTCAAAAATTTTCTCTCTGTTTCACAGAACGGCAGTCTTCCTCTGAATCTAACATTTGTGTTTTCAGACCAGTATGTCTTAGGAACAATTCCAGGTAGAGAACTCTACATTGTACATGAAGACCAGATAGAGCAGAGATACATCTTCTGAAAAGCTTAGCTGCTAACTCCCAGTGCAGACTCACCCCATGACCAGAACAGACTTTTCCATTAGAACCAATGGGACAGCTGCTTATGTTCAGGGACTGAATTGGCAGGCACTTTTTGTCCAGACACATCATTTGAGGTCCGCATGGAGCTCCATCCTCCACATAACCTAAATCTGTGTCATCATCCAAAAGAACATGAGCACCACTAGGAGAAATAAGTTTTAAGATACTATTAGTATTATGGGCGGAGTCTTCTGAAAATATTAAACATGTTAGTGTAGATACTAAACGCCTCATACCTTTCTTTCATTCAAGCATACAGTCAAATTGAACAAAACTATAATGTTTTTCTGTCTCTCCACAGCATTGACAAGGTGTTTCAGTTGACAGACTGAAAAGAAGTCCTGATAATGACTTCATTATTCAAAAAGGGCACCTTATGCTTCGGGATTAGGAGTCTTTGACAGGCCATGCTTCCTCCCCACCCCTAAATGCTCTGAAATACTACTGGTACAAATATGTTTAAAAACTAACTTCCCATGTGATGACATTTAAATAAAAATACTAGTGAATGGTAGAAGAATAAAGAACCATTCTTCATTCAGGATCTAACCATGTAAGAGAGTATTCTCAGCACGACAGCAATGCTACCAATGTCTTTAAAATACAAATCCAGTGCTGTGCACAGGAAGCTAGAAGCCATTTACCAGCCCCTTAAGTGAACTGTGGCTTAACATCTTATCCCACCACAACTCTTCAGTTTCCTCCCTCTCATTTCCCTACAGCTATTTCTCTGAGGATATAACACACAAACTCATCGTTTAATATATAGTCTTTGGCAATTACTGACCTTTCCCCTCTCCGAAAAATATAATGCTGAGCATCAAACCCTGACTGTGAAGTTCTGCTACTGGAGAAAACAGTGTAATCAAGATGATAATCCATATTTTGCCCTCTTTAAATGTGGAATATTAGTCTTTTTATTTTTATACACCAAATACCACTCAGAGTAATGATTTTTCTGTAACATACTAATTACCTACAAATCATACAATTTTACATTTATGTTTATCTTAATTCAATTAGGTTTGACAAGGCAAGATCATGTTGGAACACTGAATTATTTTTTACCTGCAGTCCACTATTCGTCCTTGATGATAAAAAGAATTTGGGATAATTTCTCCTTGAACTTGACCAACTCGTGGAACTCTAGTAAGATTAGTACAGAGCAAAAAGCCACAGAAAACATCACTGTAAAATGGGAATATAAAACAAAAAGTTACTGGAATAACATGTAGTAAACTTCCAGAAAAAAAAAAAAAAAGAGACTGGCAACGATGCTGCTATTAACTAATATATTACCATAAGTTGCATGAAAGACCTTCAGAGTACAAGTCTGGAAATAAAATATTATTTGATATAAACAACAAGAGGGAGAAAGAGGAAATCATTCATGCCTTCTCTCTAGCAACTTGGACACTGCACATTAATGTTAAATTTGGATTTTTAATTGTATTTTATTTCACTTGCAGGACAACAGAACAATAAGTAAATTAGGAGAAATTTGAGCCTATCCACTAATGATCTTTAACTTGAAGAGGAAATTTAATCAAATATTCATCTAGTACTGATACAATGCAAATGAATCATCCATTTTCTCTACAGCATCTGTAGGCCTAATGGTCCTCTCTGGTCCAAATAAAGGTTGGAATAAACTTGAAAGAGCACAATCTGGTATCAGTCCCAGAGCAAGAGAAAACAGTGTGTCTATCTGCAGCCTAATTTACCACTATCAAGTCTGAACTTGTGACTTTTTGCTGCCTTGTCCTCCAGCTCCTCTGAAAGAACTGTACACTTTTGTGAAAATGTGGAATTTTTTACAAGTATATTGCTAAGTCACCCATGGATTTGTCAGAATGAGCTACGGAAGTTTTTGAAGACGCAAACTTTGTGAAGGAAAGAAGATCCAAAATAATGCAAAACAAATTGCTGACACATTAATGAAAAGTAGAAAATATTACACCAGTATTAATCTATTTAAAACACAAACAATCCCTATCAAGCTGAACTTACTGTTTGCTACACTGAATCCATCGGTCTCCATCCTTTCCACAGTTTCCTTTTTTTGTGCCTTCTGTATTAAGCTTTTCATAACAAAATTTGTCAGATCCTGAAGACTCTGTTGATGAAAGGAAAAAGGAATGTACTTTCCACTGGCAGCATGTCAACTTTGAAAACCTGCAGCAGTTCTCTGTATTTTTTAATACAAAACAGAAATGTAACCCTCTGTGTATGTACACATATGATATTTCTCAGTGACTGAACTGCTATACCTACAGATCTCTAAAATAATGCTCAAAGTTCAAAATTTGCCCTGAACTTTTAAAAAAGCAATCTCCACAGTGTCTGTATTGTCTCCTGCATTTGAATTTAACTGTGGTCTAATTTTGTTCACCTTGCAACAGTTGCATATAGATTTAATCTACTTGTTTGCACTGCAATTATCCCTGATCTGTATTTCAGGAGAACAAGGATTTTATACATGCCATATACCACAACCATAGGTTCAACTCAATGTTAATGTTATTGTTTTAGAAGTTCACAAAGAAAACAAGGTTGAACAGTCAACATGTAATTTCTACTGATTTTTACGAGTAGAAATCTGAATTAATAGGTTGAAAACCACTATTAGTTACTTACAAGATAATTTGTTTTTTCTAAAAATCAATTAAGAAAAGCACAGCTATATAGAGGAGGAGAAAATATTACAAGTAAATATGACAGAGTAGTTTCAGTAAAATCACTGGTACGGAAGGCAAACTATTCTAAAATGTAAGTGTGTAGGATACAAAGAAATTAGTTAACAAAAATATCTATTGCCTTTAATATTATCAATAAATGTGAGGTGGCAACATAAAGCTCAAAAAGGCATCAGAGGACAGAGAAAATGTTGTCTCCACTCAATTTTACCAAAAAATCCTCAAACCCTTCCCCCTTCTCCAGTAAATCTAAGTTGCTATATTTTGCATGTTTTCTCACCTAACTGCACCAGAGTTCAGCACCTGAGTTCAGCACCTGATGCCCCACCTATGTGTGCAAGCACAACACATCACAGCAATCCACTGTTGTCACTTCCAAACTCAAAACTGCACTTGGCCACAGGCACACCTTCTCACTGCAGTCTACTCTACTGACTTAACAGCAGAAAGAACAAAAATACTAAAACTACAATACAAAATGAATACAAAAATAAACACAAAACCAGAAATAAAATAAATAAAATTTAAGTTAGTTAAAGGCAACCTACTAGATCCCCAGATATATTTGCACTGATTATCTCTTGTCTTGCATTCACCATTATAGCAACGACCCTAAACAAAACATAACATGTTAGCAATGAGAACTGAATGCTATTTCATTTCCTTCACCTCCCACAAAAAATGCCCCATGTTGATTCTTCACACACATATCAGGATATATAACAGCACAAATTTGGGTACATTTTGGCCCAGATTCTCAAAGTCAGTTGATGTCTATTCTAATATGCACTGACATTTCAGCAGCTGCTTTATATTTATTTACATAGTTGTAAACTTATTAGCATGGAGTGTAATACAAGATCTACACATAAAACGTAAAGATACCAAGCTGATTTTCCTTTAAATAATTTTTTTGCTATTCATAGAGTTCATAAAGCACAAGCAACATTGATGGTCCAAAAGACAAAATTTATGAAGAAATATGGAAGATGGGATTAAAAAACAGCCAGTCAATTTCTATTTGCTGATGTGCAGGGATTTTAAAACACTGCATACCTGATTAGAATCACAGGCATACCCATCCTGTTTATGAAGATTTGGCGGACACTGAAAAAAAAAATCTTTTTTTATCGTGTGTACTGTAATAATACATCAAAGGATCACATACAGAATTTTCCCCATTTTATAAAACCATTGCACAACATACAAAGTGCATGACACTAACATCTTGGGCTATCAAATACAAGGTTTGATTCTAGCTTTCTGCATATTTCAAATAGAAACTAAGAGAGTGTGGTGAAACGAAAAGCAAAAAAAAAAAGCATTCAATAGCACTGTATTTCGTAGCTAATACCGGAGCCATGTTTGCAACACTGACACTGCATTCATTTCAGTTCCACGAAAAGTGAGCAAACATCTCATTGTAGCCCATCAGTCCTTGGCTTACAGAGCTGTGGGCTTTTGTGATGTTAGTTGACGTGTTCTCTTGGCATTGGAAATTTTTGTGGTAGTTAGTAGGTCCAGAAGCCTCGGATTACTAAAGCTAAGATCAGACCATTTTCAAAGCTTTTACTTATTAAAAAGGGACCTGTGAAGATTTGAAAAGGTATGCTGCTGCAATGGATCACATTAGCCAATCTTCTCAGAGCAGCCTTTCTAGCTTAAGAAATTCCTTCTCCCTCCCATTAAGTATGCTCCATCTACAAAATGAAATATTTACAACAAAATCTTAGCAACAGTTAGTTATCTCTAAGTGTGGATGTCTCAGATAATATAAAAAGAGGTTACTCTTAGTTTATTGGTGTCTCTTAAGCCAACGTCTGGAGAGACACATCCTGAGAGAGATCTATACTGACTCTTCCTTCTTCAAATCTAAGAACTTGATGCAGTACATGACTGCAGCAGAGTTGTGAAGCTGTCATAATCTTGAAGCTAAATACTCTGTATTGAAAAGCAGCATCTATCACCTGAAGTGTCAAAGTTGCTGTGAAAATGGAAGATATACAGAGTGTTGATTGATTAAAAGAACTGAATTTAAAACAACCTTTTGTTTGCTGTTTATTCCTGTACTTCGGAGTATTAGCCAAATGTTTTCAACAGGAAATGATTCACAACTTCTAAAATTATCATACATGTGCATACTCTTAAAAAACGTAAGACTTTATATAAGTCTTATGAGTAGCAGCCAAGGAAACCGCAGTTGTTTAGTCTAAGGAAAAGGAGAAACCTTATCACTCCCTACAACTACTTGAAAGGAGGTTGTAGTGAGGTGGGGGTTGGCCTTTTCTCCCATGTAACAAGTAACAGGATAAGAGCAACAGGCTGCCCAGGGGAAGTGGTGAAGCCACCATCCCTGGATGTACGTAACAGACGTGGTGCACAGCGGCATGGTTTCGTGGTGGATTTGGCAGTGTCAGGCAGGTTAATAGTTGGACTTGACAATCTTAAGAGTCTTTTCCAACATAAATGATTCTATGATACTATACTCAATTAGTTGTAGTTTTCTACTTTTATATTTTAAACTATGAGGATAGGCTAAGGGAACTGGGATTGTTCAGTCTTGAAAAGAGAAGACTCCAGGGGGACCCTCTAACTACCTTCCAATACCTGAAGGGAACCTACAGGAAGGCTCTCCACCAATAGGACAAGGGGAAATGGACTTAAGTTAAAGAAAAACAGATTTAGATTGGATCTTAGGAAAAAATTCTTCAATACGAAGGTGGCAAGACTCTGGAATAAATTGTCCAGAGAAATTGTGGATATCCCCTCCCTTGAGGTGTTCAAGGCCAGGTTGGATGAGGTCTTGAGTAACCTGCTGGTCTAGTTGAGAGGCGTCCCTGCCCATGGCATGGAGGTTAGATTTGGTAATATCTAAGGTCCCTTCTAACCTAGGCCATTCTATGGTTCTATGATTTCAAAAAATCTTACTGCTATTACCTTTCAATCCATTCACATTTACAGTATATTCTTAGTACTTACACTACAGATCAGGCAAAGAGTAAAGGAGGATGCCTGATCAAATACTATACAGGTACACAAACCGTATACATTTCAAAAAACAAATAAACCTACAGACCTCTTAATACTTTTGGTTTATGACTGTTTATTCTTATTCTCATGTTTAAAAAACCAATTGTTAAGTTCTAAAAATAGCTTCCCTAATTTTGTTTATATGAGTCTGCAGTTTGTTAATCTTGATTTTTCTTTTAAATTGATATAAAAATGAGTGCAAACAAACATCAAGAGTGTAAACAGAGAAAGTTTCTGCATACATACCTGGCCAGAATCTCCAGTGCAGAATTCTGCAATATCGCATTCATTCACTGCATATCGACAGTCATAGCCTCGTGGGAAAAACTGGAAAATGAAAAATATAGTTCAGGACTAAGATTATATCTGCAGAAGGTGTTTCTTTTCATTCTACGTAAAACACACTTCAAACTGTAACAGGCTGCACACGACTTCCATGGACAACTGAGATGAACAATAAATATACTGCAGCAACACTCACAAGACACGACGTATTACAGCAGGGTCCATCACTACAGTGAGCTCCATTAGAAAGCGAGCACTTCTTACAGCAGTCTGCATAGCATTCCTGAAAAAAATATTAAGCAAAATTTTTAGCTTTCCATTTTAAATAAGTTTTTTCTTCACAATCTTTCCAACAAACTATTATGCACCAGCAGACAAAAGAAACAGTTCAGCACTCCTGACTTGAAATTATCAGCTGGAAGAATCCTTTGCAATGCTCGAATACAGAGGCAAATATGCTAGAGCAACAAGGGGATGCACACCTCCTGAAGCCTCTTCACAGGTGTGGAATAGCCTGGGCCAAGGACATGCTGCTTAGTCAAATTAAATTCAATGCAGAAAAAATATTAAGAAAACAAATTATGGGTGCAATATATTTAAAGCTAGGACTCAAATCTACAGGGCAGGTTTTTGCAAAAACATCACTGGAATGTTTCTACAATAGAGAAGAAACCAACAGGCACCTATCTCCAAAGCACACATAAGGAGTCTTACCCCTCCGGGGAGGAAAAGTGAAGGGGTAAGCACTTCTACAATGCAGGGCAACAGTTGCTGGGAAACAGCTACATCTTGTCATTAGTATAAGAGAAATTGTTCTAAGAAACACACCCTGTCTTTGTACTCATTCTCACTTGAAAAAAAATGTTTTAACACAGACCTTTAATGAAGTTGCCCCCTAATAATAGTCAAAACAAATTCATTTCCATAGCTTTTCCCCTTCCCTTACCAATCACATAATTTATCTTCATATATTTTCTAAGAAAGACTTGTGGATTAATATAACTCTACTTGCCATTCGGAAACCGCAATCACATTCTTCTCCAGCTTCTACGTATCCATTTCCACACTCAGTGGCTTCAAAGAGCTGAAAGTAAAAAAGCACACATGGCCCACCAAGTAAGAATAAAACTAGTATCAAATTACCTTTCTGTCACACATAGCCCAGAGAATACCTATGCCATGCTACTGTGATGGGGAAGGCAGCATTTTTTCAAGTGCTCCTGATCAGAACATGAAAGATATGCTGATCAGAAGACATGAAAAATATACAGCTAACTCACTTGAAAACTAGCCCTCTTCAGAATACCAATCTCAGAAAATTATGATAAACAGAAAAACAATAAAATAATACTCAAGGGATAACATCTGAACTTCATTCCTATTCTATGGATGCCCATTTCTCAATTCCTTCAAGAAACCAGTCAGCAACATGATTCTCTGGGATCCACTCGGATATCCATGCTTGCTCATGCAATTAGCTACTCTCTCTTCCATTGTAAAATGCCTGAGCTTGAAAATAACGAGCATTAAGAAACACTGCCAAAAAGGAAATTCCATGTGCTGTAAACTGTAAACAGTTAACCCTAGGACCAGGCATATAAAATACAGATAAATCCTACAGTTCACGAGTATAGGGATCCTATACTGGTTTCATGTATCACAATTTTGATTAAAGGTGATTTCAGATATTTTTCAGTCTTGTCACAAAAACAGTTTTGTAAAACCCTTTTCTGTTTCCAATATAATAATTTGGCTTTAAAAACCTACAAGAATATCAAGACTCTCCAATTTAACTGGGATATTAGCAACAGAAATACATTCATAATTAGAACATGGTTGAAATTAGAAGTTAAAAGCTAACAAGTTTAAATGAGAACTGATAAATCTACAGCTAGCTAAGGATGAAAAATGTGAGCAAACATGTTTTTTCTGCACGGGCTTAGTGGCAGTACAGCTGTTGAGGATCATCAAGTTATGAAAAATAACATGTGATACAATACAAATTGCGCAGTGAGGTTGTGGAAAACCCCTCCCTGGAAGTGTTCAGGGCCAGGCTGGATGGACTTTGAGCAACCTGGTCTAGCAGGAGGTGTCCCTGCCCATGGCAGGAGGGTTGGAACTAAATAATCTTTAAGGACCCTTTCCACCCAAATCATTTCTAAACTTGGATGGAAGTCTTCTTCAGTACTTTGGGTAGGAGGTGGAAGGGAGAGCAATCATAATGCCTAATGAAAAAGAAGGCAAACATTTTACTTCCGTTGCATAAACCACATAGCTAATCAATAGCACCTGCATAAACCACATAGCTAATCAATAGCACCTACAATCCCACGTGCCAGAAGGAAAACTATACTCCAGCAATACCCATATGCACTCTTCTTCACTAGCAGTGTTGACACAACTCAGAAAACTGGAATTTCTTAGGGTTTTTTTCCTCTCCATAAGCCAGCATTAGTACTATGCTTCAGTAGAAACAGCAAGATCTCCTATTCTGAACATGGAATCCAGTTTTCCATCAGACCTGGTTGTCTGACCTGTGGCCTGTAAGCAAACAAAAAGGGTTCAAGAAAACAGAACCCACACAGAATTCCTACGGCATTAATCAGCAACCATCAAACGCTCATATACATGTCAGAGCATAACTAAAAGATTATAATTAAAAATGACATCACGATGACTGTGTAACACAACTACGTTTTATTTACCTTATCTCCTTACATCCAAATAATAGGATTTAAAACAAAGTGACTGAATTTTTTTTTCCCCCTAAAGTACTTCAAAGTTGTGAAACACTGATGTAGATAACATATAAAGACAATTTAACCATTCTCCTGAAAACACTTTCACAGAAGTAAATCAGACAATTTCACAATTTGTTGCTATTACCTTCCTAAACAATCACCTTCAAAAAATTAAGCTGTGTTTTCCTTTATCCCTACTTACTCTTTTCTGTAAGAATTCTTACAATCTAATTCTATAAGCAAAGATTGCTACCTTGGAAAAAGATCAAAAAAATTCTCCAGCAAGCAAAATTTTTTTAGTTAATTGCATATGGTGTTGGTCTACCAAAGGACAGAGCACAGTAAACAGAACAGCCTAATAGTCTCATGTGCTGCTAAATTCTACAAGGACAGCAAGCCTGACATTATAATTAAATAGAATATTAATACTTTGAATTGACCTTACTTTGCAAAAAGAACGCTACGGAATATTTTTATACTACTCAGCTTCAGAAGGATGACAGGCTAATATTGCCTTAGAAAAAATTACAACCTTTAAGTTTTTAGGTAAAAAAAACCAGTGGATGGTAGACGGAAACAGTTATAAATTAGTTTACTAGATATACATCTGAAATGAAATGAAGTTAACTTTGAGAACAACCACAAGCTGCTACTGTCTACATGAAGTAAACTAGTGACTTCTAACTCCTTGTGTGGTAACTGGGATTCTTTTTCACAACCAAGTCCAAAAATGGAGTGTATGTGGAGCGTGTACTACACCCTCACTTGTGAATTTATTTTGCACTACCTCCAGCTTAATAACTGGTGCTGAATGGGGAAGTATATAGGTGTGAAAAAATGGCTTCAACATTTGTCATTATTTGAGCATGAAGAATTGATGGAAAACAAGTTCCATTCCTCTTAAGATTATTTTTAAATGTTATGGGAATGAACAGTCAGCTAATTATCATAGAATCATAGAATGAGTTAGGGACCTTAAAGATCATCTAGTCCCAACCTCCCCACCAAGGCAGGGATACCACCCACTAGACCAGATCAGTCAAAGCCTCATCCAACCTGACCTTGAACTCTTCCAGAGATGAGACATTCACAATTTCTCTGGGCAATCCGCTCCATTGTCTCACCACCCTCACAGTAAAGAGCTTCTTCCTAATGCCTAATCTAAATCTACACTGCTCTAGTTTAAAACCATTGCCCCTCCTATTGCTACACATTATAAGCAGCCTCAAGAAAATACCCATAGACATTTGAATCAATTTGAGAACAGATGGGTGTTAGTGAAATTATTACATTTTCATTACAATATTCAGCACAGATGCTGACTACCAACATATTTATTACCTTTGTTGGTCTGTTGAAAAGACATGCACCTCCGCCACGAAGTAAAAATTCTTTGTATTCTGCAATGCTGCATTTGGAGAATTTCCTGGAATGGAATACCCTAAAATGGCAAAGAACTAGCTGAGTAAATGACCTGAAATACCAACAGTTAATGGAAGGAGGCAGAGGACTCAAACCATTTTTTTTAATACTGTAAATCCCAGTTTCTTACAACCAGTGTGTGCAATAGTATTTCAGCTCAGGTGTATTCTCAAACAGTAAAATCACAACAAAAGAAAGTTTTTAAACATTTTGCATTTTTATATTTCTACTATATGGATCTATGGTATATGAAACTGTAGTCTTTTAATCTTCTAATAAGGTGAAACCACTTTATCATAATAGCTTCTATGCACCCTCTCGATTGCATGCATAACCTAGTGTTCACTTGGGTTTGTCTTCCCTGCAGCTTCAGTTTAAAAGATGGACTACATTCATCACTGGTCAACTCACCTGACCCTGCTAATAAGGTTAATTTTTAAAGTAAAGGTAGTTGTAGCCGTAAGAACAGCTGCATAGGGTCAGACTAAAAATCCACTTTACCCAAATCCCATCTCTGATTTTGGCCCTCAGAATATGCCCAGAGAAAAGCAGAGAACAAAGCTCAGTACTACTACTTGCAGAATATTCTTCCACCTTGCAAAAACTTCCAGCTCAATGACTTTCTCAGGAAGACTTATTTTGTCTTATTACATAATCTTAATTGTATTTTCTCCCATGAATTTGTTTAGGGTAGAGGACAATGAAACCTGGCTTCATCCTATACAAATGTGCTTTCCTCCCTCAGACTTCACTGACCGTTTAGCTAAAGAATGAGAGCTGAGAGTACTTGCTGAAAGCTTCTAATTTTTTTCAGTGGAACAGAAGCAGAGAGACTGTTCACTCAAAATTAAAATTTTGAAGGAATGGGAGAAAAAAAATCAAAATTGAGGAGGAAAATAGAAGTATCACTTATCAAAACTGCATTATAACACATCTTCAGGTGCATTTAAAAAGTATAAGTGGATGTATCTAAGGAAAAACCTATATCTTTTAGTTTTCAATCACTGTAAGTATAGCGAACTATTAGTGAATACATTGCACTGCACTGCAAAATATAAGATGTATTAATACTTCCTAAAATGCAAAGGAAATGAACTGCAGAAAATTTAAATCATTGATCCGTATGTTTGGGTTCATTTGTTAGTATTGAAATACATGGACAAAACCCAACACATAAATATCTGTCATAATGTAAATTATGAACTCATTCCAGAGCCCTCAGTTACTGATAGTTATGACATACCCTGTTTCCTCCATGATGCAACCACCCCAGGATTCAGTGCAGTCACACTCTTCTCAGACAAGACCAAAATACAATAGAAAAGGAAAGCAGTTATAAATATGCTTGCAAGAATTAAAAAGTACTCTTCTATAAAAGTGGACCTTGACTAACTATACAGAAGTCCGATGGCTGCTTGTCTGTACAGATTCTAGCCCTAAAAAGGAAACCAGTCCACTTGAAGATATACTAATATAATTAATATAAATGTGGTACTTTCAAATTACGTGCATATATCCATGTTCTTAGACTCAATGCAAAAAGTTTCAAGCAGTACAGAAAGCTAAAAATAGCTGGCAACATTCTTCACTACATGCTTTCAAAAGAGGCATCTGAGGAGTATGTGCAATACACAAGATACTGACAAATATGTTCACATATCCTCCTCCCTAAAATGTGTACAAAACACTCTGAAGGAGAATTCTTACTGGAGAGGCCACATTATTTTCCCTTTGGCATAGCATTATTCACAGTAATATGTGAATCAGCCAAACTTTCATTAGAAAAAGTAGTTGAGTGAAAATGGATTTACAGTTTACTTACAGCTATAGCATGTAAGTCAACAGCGACTGAATTCATAAAATAAAACCGTAAGATCAACATCTTACAGTTGGTAAAACAGAAGTTACAAACTACCCATAAGAATTATCCACCAAAGTAGTAACATTTTCAAGAAGAAAGGTTCTGTATTTTAGTTACTACTGCAAATCCATGCTTTTTCTCCATGGAAAATATTCACAGTTTATTTATATGGTTATTTCTACTTTACTCAGGTCTTCTATTAATTTTTCACTTTAAAAGGGTATCCAAATAAGGAAACTACACTTATCATTTAAAAAACTTCTTGCAGTTAAAAAAAGATTTAATTTACTAATTATACAAACTCTGTTTTACCTGTAATCAAAAACCAATGATATAGACAACAATTTAGCAATTTGCAAGTTTACAATTCAAAAGCGATACTTTACAAAACATTCCCTAAACTTTTCCATAGTTTCCTAATTCACAGATTTCTGAAGTGATTCCAAAATAAAGTCAGCATTATGGCTCATGTTTTTAAAGAAGAAACAAAGAGAGAAAGTAGCCAAACTGCTTACAAGATGTGAGTGGAAAAAACCAACCATTTTCTTGAGCCTCAGAAAGGGCTTTTGCAGCAGCTTTTGTACCTACACTCTGCATGTGTTAAGGCCACATCATTCTAGTCTGGCTGTGAAGCAGCAAGGCAACAACTTGAGCAGATATCTCCCCGGACTAGGTTACAGCTTCTTACCATTTCTTCAGGTATGAATCAGGGAGTTTTTGTATTTTAAGAAGTCTGATAGTTCTGTAGGAATAACAGATTTCATTATGACAGATAAGGAGTTCTGAGTTAATTAATGGTGTTGTTACCATTATACCTTCAAATGTTGGTTAGGAATCTAACCTCCTGTCCTGGTTTGAGCTAAAAACCCCAATTCTGTTTAGTGATTTTTACTCTCCAGTTTAGGCTCTTCTAAAAGGCTGCACTTTCTGAAGTCAGCAGCATGTTTTTGCAGGCAGTGTGTACTACTGGCAGTGATAACACCTGATGTTCACAGTTACTGCCTGGGACTGGGATGCAGAAAGGCTCTTGCTGATTCTTATTCCTGTAGTGACCAAGGCCACGGCTGGCTCTTGTGTGCCACGCTGGGGGTGCCGGGAAGTGAGAGGGGTCACAAGGAAGTAAAAGGTTGCACCTCTGGGGAGTTACAGACAGGACAGATGACCAGCGAGAGCATTCCATTCCATATACATCATATTTAGTTATAAATTGAGTGATCAAAAGAGTTTCTTTTCCTGCAATGGCTGGTGTCCAGGGAGGGCTCTGTCTGATCTCCTGCTTTTGATGCAGATCCTGACTTCCCGAATCCAGCTCCCTTTACCCAGCTCCCGCCACCACTGAGCCTGGGGCTTCCCCAGTGCCTCCTGCTCTGTAGCATCAGTGCGGATTGATATCGGGAAGGGCAGAGGGGAAGTTGGGTTCGATATCAGGCTTATATCTAGTTGTATATGGTTCTTGATTTTTATCATTTCACTATTATTTCCATTATTGTTTCATTAAAGCTGTTCTAGTTTTTCTTTCCTAACACATAGGTCTCTCTGCCTCATTCCCATTTTCCTTCCCGTTTGTGGGGGAGGGAAGAACGGGTTAGAGAGCATCTGTCCGCATTTAGTGGCCAGCCCAGCCCCAACTCACAACACCTCCTGACACAGAATGTCACTGAGGTCATTGTAAAGAGTGCTAAACTTGTAGCTCTTACTTTGGTTAAACTCAGATTTTGGTGCATGTATTTCCAAAAGCAGCAATTCTTATTCTACAGTTACAGCAAGTTTGCTATTTTTTTCAAGTATTATAAAGGAAGACTTTATATACTTAGCTAAGGAGGACAACAGAAGACTCCATGTCCATGTACATACTCTGTTTCCTGGCAGCTGGCTCCCACTGTATTCCAAGGTTCTGAGCAAGACTTTGTGCTAGTTCCTGTGCCATGGCCATAGGGAGGCCATACTACATTTCAAGAGGAGTGCAATTGAAAAAAAAAAGAAAAAAAAAGTAAGTTACTGTAATGAACACTAGACAGCTCATTCTGGCTTACTACATAGCTACCACTTCAGCAATTCTGCAATCACAATCCTGTGTACATATAAGGAAAATAAATGTAATGAAGTACATTAAGGAAAAAGTTTTCCTCTCAACCTGAGGGAATTCCTGTCTGCTGGTTAACCCACAGAACAGAGTCTGATATGTACGTAATATAGTTTTGTATAGTATGATTAGCGCATGTTAAAACAGGAAATTTTTATTATTGTTTTAATACTGCACTGAGGAAGAAGAATAATTTATAAAGCAATACAAAGGCACCAAATTTTTCTCGTTTAAATGTAAAAAGAAAATCAGTAAGAAATACATGTCATCAGAAGATCAAGCCTCTTATAGTAAGAAGACCCAAAAGGATGTTCAGTGCTATATTTCAAATACTCCTGTAGGAGATTTTTGAGTCTAAGTTTCTGCGAAATATACTAAAAGTCAATTTAAAATCTTATCAAACGAATACTGCAGAAAGGAGGAATGCTTTTTAAAAAAGAAAAGCAGTGAGCAGTGGTTTAATAATGATACAAGAAGCCTGGCTCTGAGAATCCTAACATTTTAATATTGAAGTTATCTTTAAATCCCTGAATAATGAAACATATAAACTCTGAGGTTATAATGTACAGTTTCTATTTTATTTCACTTCAGTCATTAAAAAAATTTACCTCGTTCACTCCTACTCCTCTGGTCACAGAGCAAACCCCTCCAAAGTAACTTAAGCTGCTCCTTTTGTAATGAAATGTCACATTCCTTACAAATAAAAATAAAGAAAATATAACACACTGGCATGGGCACCAAGAACTTACTGAAAGATCACATTTTTCACACATACTCTGATACACTGCATGCACACTAATCCTCAACTAGCATCAAAAGCAACTGCAAGTTTACAAACAGAACACTGACACCAAAAGAGTCCATTTGATACGACCTTCAACAAAAATATCAATTTTTATCCCATAGAGTCAGAATCAGTCCCAAACAAACAAACCAGGCAGAAAAAGCTAGAGTACCAGATGCCTAAGAAAATACAATAACCTTTGTTTTCAAAGGGTAACTATACATTCCAAACTACAATCTGTCAGGACAGAATTTTTTAGTAGCGCCTGTTACAATAGGACAAGGGGTAACAGTTTTAAACTAAAAGAGATTTTTTTACAATGAAGATGGTGAAGCACTGGAACAGGTTGCCCAGAGAGCTGGTAGAAGGCCCTGGAAACATTCGAAATCAGGTCCAATAGGCTCTGAGCAACCTGATCTAGTTAAAGATGTCCCTGCACTGCAGTGAGCAAAAGATGTCCCTGCTCATTGCACTGGTGTTTAGAATTTTTTAATTATGCTCTTAATCCAAATCAATTTAAGGTCTAGTTTCAACTCCAAATGAAAAGACTGAGAAGTATGCTTAGAGGGAAAGTAATATAGTACTGCTCTTTAGCCCTGTCTCCTTTCATTTATTGTTAATAAACTACAAATTATTTAGTTAAATGAAGGTAAATCTGGAATATATACATTATTATATAAAATGTCTATAAATGATTATGAATGATACCTATTTTAACTTCATAGTCTTAATGATAAATCTACAAAGCCTTAGGCACACATAGTAAATGTCCCTAAGCTTTGAGAATTAAATTCTTTTACAATAACAGAATCAATGTCCCTTTTGTAAATATTTCTTTTTTTCAGAATATTAACAGCCATCAGAACTTTCCAACTGCAGCTTCACTATAAATTCTACAACAGATAGAATCACAGCAAAGGCTGAGGTTGGTAGGCACTTCTGGAAATGGTCTAGTTCAACCCGTTGCTCCAAGAAGGCTTAGCTGGAGCCGGCTGCTCAGGGCCACGTGCTGAGCACAGACACTCCATAGCCTCTCTGGGTAACCTGTTCCAGACTCTGAGCACCTTCACAGGGAGAGGTTTTCTTCCCTATGTTTAAGTGGAAGTTCCTGTATTTCAGTTTTTATTTGGTACCTTTTGCCATGCACCACTAAGAAAAGCCTGTTTGCCCACTGACAAACCCTTCAGCAACTGAAACAATACATGCATAAAATTAAGACTGCACATCACCAACACTTTGCATATGTTATGAAAAACACAACTAGCAGTGTGTTGCAATGCCTGTGTAAAGGCAGTACAGCTCTCACAGATGCTGGAAGAAATTCTTCATTCCCTATTTTTATCATTCTTTGCAGACAGTGAATGATAGGAGAATCCCATGGAAGACATTTGTCACTCCGTCCTCATAGTATGCCATGCTGCTGGGAGATGGCTTAAGAACTTAAGGCTGCACAGGCAAACACACTCTTCTCTCCTCTTTGCTTATAATGCAATGAAGCAAAAAAACTGTTGTCCAAGGCTGATGTCTGCCTAATGATGCAAGTGGAATTTCCCCTCAGGACGAATTGTGCCTCAGAGAACAATTCATTAGAGCTCTAAAGGAGGAGATCTTCCATTAACAAATCATCACTGCAGCTACACGAGTGAATAATATAGTAACTGGAATGCTCTTGTGGCAACACATAATATTGTCAGCTCTGCCCTCTCCTGCTCGTTACTGGGAAAGCAGTACATTACACATCTGATTAGCAAAACTAGGTCTCCTTACGGGCTCATCAGAACACACTTCAAATATGAGACACTGTCTCCAGGTTGCAAAGACATTAAAATTTCATTATAGATATATTTATGAACACAACCATGGTATATACTACACCTATTAAAAATAGACTAACATGTTTAAAAATAAATAAAGCTTCCTAAGTAAGGCTGATGTTGATTGATGTAGCGACCAGCAAGCAAAAACGTAACCAAGACGAGACAGGTAGACAAAAGCAGTAGACAGCAAAATCTAAAAAACTGTAACAGTCTAAACCACTGTACAATGGCACATACGAGAGCAGTTGCACAGCATCAGCATGCTGTTTGATGTAGTGCTGTCGATATTTGGAGAAATCGTGAAGCATCTGCAGAGGGTCAGGGCGAATATTAATTCGATCTCTGTCTGTCCAAGTTTCCACAGCAACGAGAACCACTCTGGTGTTCAGTTGTTCCTTGTATATCTGAGGGCAGAGACAGGACAGGCACAGGAGTAGAACACTGGGTCAAACATGCACAGTTAGCCAGTAAGAATAAAGCGGAAGGACAAGAGGGATAAAGCAGGAGGGAAACATGGGGAAATAGTTAGCTGGTAATGCCTTGGATTTCCCAAAAGTTAGTATATTCTGATCAACTTAAATTTTATGTATTAGAGGACAACATAAAAACCACCCTTGCTGCTCTTTTTTTGAGCTGCTCTCTTTTCTTTAAAATTCTCACATCAAATAATTTGACCGCTGAATTTTGCAGAAAACCTGTACAAAAATCAGTAAGGGAGAAATGTAAACTGGGTGATCTCAAAGAACAAGAAAGATCTCAAAGACAAAAAAATAGCAAAAGCCAATTCTTAAGTCAAGACCAGATAACTTCTCAGTTCTCCAATATATCCAAAATTTAATTGAAATGTTTGATTTTCATTTATAGTATCACTTAATGCTACTCAAGTAATGTGAGATCAAGAATATTAATTTTTCTATTAATTTTAATGTCACTATAGCAACAAAACAACAATCAGGTCCTAAGTGATTACAAAACAGCTTTAAAATATCCATTTTAACTTTGTTTACAATACTTGATTCTGAAATAATACTGCTACTCTTTTTAGGTTCAGATCATAAAATGATAAATTTTATTAATCAAGAACCTGTAGATCACAAAAGATGCATGCCTTATCTGCAATAGTCAGTTTGTCCATCAACAGTTTTACATGAGGTATAAAGAACACTTAGTTATGATCTAAAAGCTCTGGATAATTAATACTTCGGCTGCCTAATCCATAAAATACACCATGAGGCATCACATTAGATACATGCTTTCATTACCTTTTTGCCAAATTATACCTACAATACACAACATGAATTGCAAATATCCTCCTACAGCTGTGATAGATATTTATACTGAATAAATTAGCCCCGACTATAATATGCCAGTCTTTTGTATCAAGACAGCATTATCCTTATAAAAACATCACTGTATAATATTCAGATTAGAAAAAAAAGGCAATAAATCTAAGAGCAAGAGAGAGCAACCATGTAAGCTCAATTTTGTCCAAGAACCTTGAAGGAAAAAGGAGTATAAATATGCTTCAATCTGAGGAAGATAGGGTGAGGACATGCAGAGAAAATGACATGAGAAAAATCAACAAAATTAAACCCCAGAAATTACATACGAGTGGATCAATAAAGTCTTTACTTTTGTTTGCCAAGAGAAAAGCTGTATTTCCTAAAGCAAATAGGAAGAAAAGAATGGAAAAAGGGGAAGAGAATCTGAAAGACTCTGAAAGCCAATATCCTATTCCCAATAATATATTAGTAAGAAATATATCCTGCTCCCTCTGAACATGAAGAAATAACAAGGCAGAAATTCCTGCTCCTTTTTTATGCTTTGTTTAAAGAAAACACCATTAAGATGTCATTTTGCAAGATCTCTATGAGGGGACTGAATTCTACATTGGCGAGAAGCTGAATGTTTCTGTATGCAAACATAGAGCAAATAAAAACCAGAAGGAATAATCAGAAAATAATAAATAATAATAAATAAATAAAAATAATAAAATAATAATCAGGAGGATTAAATTGCGGAAATTTATATTTTTATCTGCTCTAGTAACTTTTTCAGACCACTAGCATTTTCAGACCATTACACAAAAATATTCCAAAATACTTACAGTATTTTGCATATAATAAATATATTAATCTAAATTTTCAATATACATACAGCATACACAGTACTTTATATGTAAGATACTAAAAATAAATACTGTAGTGTTTCCTCTGAATTAAACAAACTGCTGGCAATATTTTGCACTATATCATATCACACAGTTCTGTTGGTATCAGTAATGTCACATGGAAAGGGAACAGAGCCAGAGTTTTCCTAGCCTTTGTATTCATCACTGCTAGAGAATCTATCCTGTTTTCATTACAGATACATTTCTGAAATGTGTGTAGTCATTACATGCATATCAAAAAGAGAAAAAACCCCAAATTTTATCACACATCTTTTAGTTCATATGCTTTATGTAAAATTGTTCTAAATTCAGTCACAGATACAAGTATGGTATCTGTGCCAGTCTCACCCATTTATAATGTACTACAATGGAATTTTGTTTGCTTTTAAGTTACAAATAAAGATTTATAAAGGAGAATTATTATTCATGTTCTCTTCTTCTCCCAATAGATATGTGTATCCTTTGTGAACTAAACTCATAGCTTCAACAATTTGTGGTTAATTTGGTTTTACAAATCCAAACTCAATTAAATCTCATTCTTCAGCAGTGACAGATACTGAAGGCTCCTTAAAGTCTGAAATCCTCCCCCGCCCAGGGCAAACTCTGGCAATGGCAAGCTTTGAGAAAAATGCCAAGGATAATTTGGTGGTTTCTTACACATTCACTCCAGGCTATTTTGCTGCAGAGGAAATGAGTTTTTAAATGTAATTTTTATAGCTGCTCATTTTTCTTATCCTGATATCTGCCAATGTTAACTTTTTTAATACAGTGCTAAACTAACATAGTCAGCAATACAGTTTACAGAAGAAACACTGATACTTACAGCATCTACAAGGTTTACCACAGACTTTGCAAAATTGTTTGTGTATGCATTTGAAGAACGGTGCTTTTTGAACTAGAAGAAGAAAAAGTAGAACACAGTGAGAACTTAAATATTTATTACTGATTATTTTCACAGCAAGAAAAGAAAGATACTATTTTTTTAAAAAGGGTAAGGGAAAGGCTCAAAAGGCTTTTCAGAGCACAGCCTGTATCTCATATTCAAGAATCCCTGAAAGATAAAGGAAGCCATGTATGCTACACAACCTTCCACATCCATTAAAGGAACAGTTAGCCACAAGAAATATCCTACCTAGAATCAGAGTTCAAATGTTAGAGACAAAATTGCAGGTAAATATGAGCTCAAAATTAAGAGGATGCTACAACCATTAAAACTGTGCTTAATCTGATGAATTAAATATCAGATTGTACTAACCACATTCCAGGAGACATGAAGATGAAGCATTTAACACTTGTCCTGTGTACAGGTCTTTCGCTATTACGGCACAAGACTTTTACAAGAAGTAACATTAGTTATACCAAAAGGCAAAAAAGAAGAAGGAGTGCATGGTAAAAATAAATATGTTTGGATGTGGAAAGAGTTAAAATGAACATCTTCCGTTTTAAGTTCATTTACTTCCATTTCTATGGACTTACATAAACTGTATTACAAATTCTGCTTCCTAATTTCTACGTATGTCATTACAATTGTTTCATGTCTTTTCTTATGCTGACCTACAAGTCCCCTCTGTTCTCAGTCAAATTTTCCAAAGATGCTACAACATCTGAACATGAATCCACGACTTCCATAAACTTTAAAATTATAAATCAAAATGGCATTACACAATGTAATTCACAGGCAAGAAAAATAAGGCTTCAAAATTTCACAGAAAAGGAACATAAAATTACATAGAACAAAGAGGATTAAAAGTCTTAATTAAAAAACTCTTACTAATTTCAACTACTGGTTAAAAGAAACGAATCTCATCACTTCATGAGTAAACATTATCAAGTTCCACAGAAGTGTCAGCTATTCCCTCTCTGAAACACAGTACCCAAAAAGGTGTTGGAACAAGACAGTCTGACTCTTCTACAAGCAACTGAGTAGCTACTTTCATGAAATAAGTTAGGTGATTAACTACCTTCCCAAATTAGACTTACAGAACAGACAAGTATCTTGTTTTCCAGAATTATGCTTGGTGTGAAGATGAAAGTAAAACTGGAAGACATAGATGCTTTTAAAATTAAATAATCCATTTCTCAAATTGAAACTCACAAGAGTGATACACACACACTCACTCTCTATAACACATTTTCCATGCCTTTAAATTTCCATTAATTTTGCATAAGCAATCTAGATTTCCAAGTAAGAAATGCCATAGAGATAACAAAAAATTCATCAAATTTAATCATGACATCATTTGACTGCAGGTAGATAATATTTTACATATGCAGTTATTCATTGTTGAGTTCCATAATACTTCACAGCAGGTTTTAATACCCAAAGCTCCTACAACATAGGTTTGCAGAGACTCCCTCCCCTATAACTATTCACAAAACAAAGCATTTTCAGCTACAGTGCTTGTAGGTGCTTAGGATGTACACTCAGGAGAGTACCCAAGAGGCTCTGTTTGCTCCCCAGGGAACCATGATACTAGAACAAAATAATGGCGGAGGGGGGGAAGAGACATTGTTTTGTTTTGAGCCAATCTCAGACTTTTCCTAAGTGGAAAAATAAAATAACATGCTTTGGAAAATGTTCTTGGTTTTCCTGAAAGTATTTAAACGTCCAAGTCAATAGCAATACACAACACAGTATGTTGAAATACAGCTCCTAAAACAGTAAGTCATTAAAAAGGCAACAACCCAATTAAATACGTTTAGTTGTGTGTTCAGCATTGCAGGAAAGGAAAACTCTGTGAAAATACAAAGTAATAATCACTTAACGCGACGCCCAAAGAGGTTTAAGGTACTTCTTCCAACACAGAGCCTTGCTGCAGGAGAAATTCGCCCTCTACTGGTCAGCAGAGGGCATTAAAAAACATGTAGTCAGTGCCGGGATTAGCGGGCTTTACTTCCTTACATATATCCATTTCATTCCTTGAAAACAATTATTAATTACTTCTGAGTCATTGACAACCCTGAAGCAAAAAATCTTGAATGCCTGTGGTCCAAAGTTCTAACAAATAAAGCCTGAGAGGAGACGACAGTTAGTGTAACAGCTGGGACAAAGAGGACGGTTGTTCTTGAAGCACGTCTGTATAACGAGGCCAGAGGAAGCACAGAAATACTCTCTCTTCATAAAGAGCACAAACCACAGGTCTCAAACAAGACAACAAAATGTACACAACCTCAGTTACTGTGCCCTAGGCCTAAACAACTAACAACTAAATAGCTTCCTATTAGGTGGCTTTTTAAGTGAAAAGAGTCCAAGAAATTTCGGTCCTACTCTTTCCACCCATTCCAATTCCTCCCACATTGCTGAATCAACACACATTAAACATAAGTTATTTTTGCTCAGATTACTTCTATGATTTATTAAACACAGAGATGAAGGAAGGTTGTATTATCTGTGTATCCAGCAGTGGAACAAATACAGAATACTGAATCCTGTTCCATTATCTGCTATTTCTGGCTCTTTAAAATCATCCTTCAGTCCTGACAACAGAGCCTACAACAGCATAAAGCACTGGGAAAACATGCAGTAGAGTAAGAGGTGCAAGGAGCTCTTATGGAAACCTGAAAGTTTATTTTACTTGCAAATGAAACAAGCAGAAACTGTTTTACTAACATAATTTGATTTTTTTAAAATGATATTGCTTACACAGAAACAAAGTCATACTAAGAGTCGAAGATTCTTACTTGCCTCTTACTCAATGAACAGCAGAGAAAGCTTAAGCAAAACAAGGGCTCAGAACACAACACAATCACAGTAACTCACCGTCAGTTGCAGTGTATTCTTTGGTTCTAGAAAACTTTTAAGCCTACACTGAGTATTCTTCCTCAACAAATAGGGTCTATGAAATAGTTGTTTAGGTTTACAAAATTTATCACTCCCCAGGGCCCCTCTCGCCCTCTCTCACACTGAAAGCAGTAATAAATAACAAATGTCACTTGGTCTATTTTTTTTCAGTCATCTCTCAAGACAAAAAGAAAAAAAAGGGGGCTTTTTTTTTTTAATTAATCAAATGATAAACAATTCCTGAATGAAATAACTTATCTTGCACTTTAAAATGAATTCTGTTTAAAAGTGTGGAATAGCCAGGAAGAACAATCAGATAGTTTTAGCTATATGCTTTGGTGCATTTATTAAAATTTAAGTTAGTAAAACTAAATTGAACAAGTTCTGACCTCTTTCTTTATTACTTTAAGAATAGGATGTAAATTTTGAATGTTTACTGTGTTTGTTCTGGTTATAAATGTGCTGTTGCTTTACTTTGCTAGTTATGGGCATATTAAATTATCCATACGACGCCCAAGTATTTCAGACATATTTTGAATACACAATCTCTGTAGAAAATCTCAGATAACGATAAGCACTGTTAGGTATTATGGTCTATACTGTGTCTTACAGTACAAACGTTAACAGCTGATAAACGGAATATTTGACTGAAAAGCAGCTGATGCAACATAGTGCTGTACATCAACCTACAAATGATAGTCAAAAGGAAGATTACCACGGAACTAATATACTTACCATTTTGTGGTCATTGACTATCATGAGCTCCAGATATTTCATTTCTTCAAAGATACCACGGGAAACCTGATGGATTAAAGAAATTCTTTGAGAAATCATGAACATGTAGTAATTTTAAAAAATAACTGCAGCTGATCTAATAGGATTACCCATAAATATTATATAGGGTGTGTAAACCTGCAAAAACTGGGTCAGACACTCAACTAGGGTGAATAATGATCATTCCAGTAACTTAATGAGTTGTGATAGACACTGACTGAGAATCTGAGTGACATCACTAAGAATGTTTAGCATCTATTCTTTCTGTTTCAGCACAGAAGCACCACTGCTTCCCTCCTATTATTTTCACAAAGGAGAAAAATCTCAAATGCTATAAACTCTTGGTCTACTGTACTATTCTTCACAGGTTTAATGAGGAAGGAAGTTACTAAAAATAGATGCATCCTCAAGAAATACACTGTGGATTGTGCAACTCAGTGAAGGCATACAGACTCACCTTCTTTAACTCAATTATTTCCCTGACACGTATGCATGTGCAGATCATGAGGACTGTCCACTTCTCTCAGTAAACCATTTCTGAGTGTCCTCATTTGGATTTTTCATTTAATTATGCTACTTAATGAGCCAAATGAAAATAAAGTCAGATATCTATGAAGTAGCAAAACTTCATTCAGAATTATTCTTTATCCTCAAGCAGACTCAAAACTTGAAATTCTGAACTAAATTTCACTACTGAACTTCCAGTTAATTGATGCATAGCATTGCTGTCACTTTAGAACTTTTATCACTTTTCTCCAAATAGTTTTTAAAGAATAATCATCTGGTTTTATCATTTGATAATTGCATTATGTGACAATATTAACCAATCACAAATATTTGTTTTCCAAAGATTATGTTCTCTCAACATTAAAAAACCCAGAAACTAATGGCGTTTAGTTTGTTTTCATAAATGGTCTTAAGTCAGGGTGACACTTCTACTCACTGCTCTCTTTCTTCTCTTTCTCCTCAGCCACTGTAGTTCAGACAGAAAGGGCCATTCAGAACTAGATTCAGTCTCTGTACAAAGTACAATTTAAGAATTTCATGGCATTATTTTAAAGTACATATTTACACTGTCCAATCCAAAAGCAGATAAAGATCATAATTAGAAGAACCTTTGCTATTGAAAAGTTTATTTTTAAAAAATCACAAAATATGAAGTACTTCACATCAAAACTCAAGCCATTTAGAAATCTAAAGTCAGAATTAAAGCATGCAAGCAGAGATAAAGAGATTGTAACCTGGGCTTAGAATATATACTTTTTCTATCACACGTCCTCAATAAATTAATATCACTGATTAAGTTGAATTATTTGCAGAAAAAAAAAACTAAATGCAGATCTTCAGGGGTAGAAATCTTTCAGCTGCTTTGTGACAACTCTAAATTCCATGGAACAATTGTGAAAAAAGTCAAGTTAGTATCTATTTTACAAGTTTTTCTAAATAATCAGCAATTTTATATAGACTGTTATCCTATTATTCACATTTTCTGAGTTATATATACAATTATTTTCAATATTGAAAAACTCATCAGCAAAAACATACCAAGGTCCTGCAACTGCTTGGAGGCTTGTGCTCCGTAAGTCCTTTGGATGATATGTGGTCTACTTTTACTTTCCTGATAAGAAATATAGATGACGTTTTCTTCTCATTAATAATGTCAAGTGAAAAATTCTTTCAGTATTTACCATTTTTATTATTTTTCCATAAAACGCAAGCAACCATAGTACCAATTTGGCATAGCACCACCAGTTTGAAACAATCTATCGGCAATCCTACGCAAATCTTGGAGCCTCTCTGCTTCAGCACATTTGCTAGCCTACAAAACTGAAGTATTGCAGATGCCTTTGACATTACTTGACAAAAGTCCTTTAAAAACCTTAGCGTTAGAGAACATAGACCATTTATTCCAATAAATCAAATTAGAGAGCATATATCTAGCTGAAAACTTCCCCACACAAATAAAATGCAACTATTGCTATTTATGACCAAAAAAAAATATCTTCTTAATTGCAACAAAACGCAAAAACCTGATCAATATGGTATCTTAAAGAGGATTGTTTCACCCTGTTTGATTGGTATATACAACACCTAAAAAGGAGAATACTTCCAATGCATGTTTCCTTCAGAAGCCTGACATGCCCCAAATTACCAGACTTTGGCTTCTGCTATCTTTTCTTCTGTAGCACCTCCCCTGTACAGCCTGCCAAAACAAGTAATTCTTTTCAAAAGATAGGATGCTAACATTCTGTACCTTCTGTACAAATACATAACACATTGAAGGAAAATACCTCCTATTTTTGCTGGGTTTTTCAGAGGGGGGAGGAGGAGAAATAAAGAAAAGATGTTTTATATAGTGTTTACTATAGTTAAGATTAATCAAGCTGAATAAACTACATACTGAAGGCTGCATCCAAGATATTTATCTCACGTAGTACAATCAAAAAATTACCTTAGGCAATTAATACTCATTGCCTTAAATAAATTCCAAATAAGTATTTTAAAATACTTTTGTTCTTTATACGAATGTATGAGAGGCCACTCATTTATTGATTTATTCTAATACATCTAATTTGCTATTCCTTGAGCACTTTTTCCCAAACCAGATAAATTAGATAAAAATAAACTTACTGCATTATGTGTCAGATCCATCGGTTCTATCAAGTACAAGTAAGTACTATCTTCAAACATACCACTAGAATATGGAGAAAAAGAAGTGATATTTGAGATTAGAAAACAACGTGATTCCAGGATATGATTTTCGATGAGACAAACCCAAAATTAGGGTTGAAAAATTGATACTAATATTAAATTAATTTCATATATGTTCATTACTACCATGTGTGGCTAAAGCTAAGGAATTTTTTTTAAGAGATCAGGCTCATTTTAATGAACTAACACTGAATGTAATGGTAACTAATGATAAAGCACCAAAAAGGGTAAAGATTTGACCTTGGAAAGAGGAAGTCCTGAGATACATCTAAGCATACAGAATACAATCAATAGCTGAGTTGCACTTAACAGTAACTAATCCTAGTAAGGGCTAACTTCTTACCTTTTTTCAGTGTACAAATCTAACAAAAAGATCAATTTTTCTATTGGCTGACAGAATCACAGATGAATACTAAGCATGCAGACTGCTCAAGCACAGCTCTTGTTTATCCTTTACCATAGTAAGTCATGTGGTGAAATATTTATTTTCACTTATCATATTCAAAGGTTTCATGAGACAGCATCAAAAAACTTTAATCCAAATAATACTAAAAAAAAATACCAGCAGTTTGGCACAGCTGGTACCGACATTTCAAAACACCAACTATCTTTGGGCCTGTAGAGATTTCAGTCCCTCACATACAAAGACGTAAGAGTAATAATTAGTTACTAGCCTTGTTAGAAAAACAAAATGGTGCACTTACTGAAGGCCATTACAAGTTGAAAGAGCAACTTTGGAATCCTTGACACCTCTGATATTTCCATGGTAATAACAATGCTCTCCACCCTGAAGTTTAAAAACAAAGGAGTAATCACATATGCACAAAATGACCCTGATTTAACATCAGTTGCTTAAAAACAAGGCAAAGCAGATCTAACACTTCCCATGAGGTAAAATTTCAGAGAAAGTAGTGGTTGCTAAAGACCAATGACTAGCCCTGATTGCTTATAAGAGAAAAACTGTGCCCAGTAGGGACTCATTTATATATGTGTTCAAGCCATAACAAGGATTATTCTTTTGTTGAAATCATGGCATTCTTCATCTTTTTTTTTTTTAACTGCATTTCTTTGCTGTGGTGTGATTCTGTAAAAAAGTTATGTAAGACATTTTACATGAGCACTGAATTGTTTCTTGATGCATTCCAGGTCTGTTAAAATTACCAGTCATACAGTGTTCATCAATCAGCTTAGATCCAGACTCTAACAATTTTGTTTCACTATCAATTAAAATGTTACAAAATGTTACAAGTCAACTCCTGATTTTAACTGCATAAAATTCCAAATAGATGCAAAACTCAAATTATTGAAAACACAGCAGGATTTCTATGTCTGCTCTATGGAAGTAAGCAATCATGTTTTAGACAATGTCCTGCCTTTTATTTTAAAAAAAAAAAATCTACAACTGTGTTTAATTGTTGGAGATTTAAAAGAAAAAAATAAGCAAACTACATCCAAAATTGCAACCTAAAACTTTCTCCAAGGTGCTAATAATACGTAGTAAGGGAGATCCTACTGAATGCTGTGATGCAAGATTTGAACAACAGCCTGATGCAGGGATTAGCCTGAATAGAATTAGTTCAAAACTTGGTAGCAAATGGGCATGCAATGAAGCTCTGTCTATAGTGTTTCACTTCTCCACAAGAACATAAGGGAAGTTGCAATGGAATTCTCAAACCAGGACATATGTATTTATGGGGGGAATAGGACAAAGCAGGAGACCAAAATACCACAGAGAAGAATCGGTACATTCTTAAAATCCTGAGTTCTGATCCAGAAAAGCCTTGCTCAGATGCCAGCTAAACTCCAGTGGGTGCTACACCCTTCCCTCTGAATTAACAGTGGAGGTTCCCTGGACCTGCCTGGTTTTCATCATAGAATGAGCTAAGTTGAGCTCTTCTCCTGAAGCAACTATGACTAAGCTCAAGCAGGCAGAGAACTTCAAGTCTCCTCAGAACACACCTAAGAGGATGACAAGACAGAAGCCCACAGAACAGAGTTGCAGAGGCTTTCTTTTCAAAACACTGACCATTACATGCCAATGGCCCTCTCAAGCTAATGCCTACAGCACTCACCCCCGTTTTCCTGGCTGCTGAACAACTTCCCAGCTCGCCTTGAGTCAACCTCTCCACCTTCTAAAAGTGTCATCTCTCTCCAAAGCTACCAGGTATTTTGTGTTAAGCACCTTAATTCACTCAAGCTCGTTTTGCAGAAACCACAAAGACTTATGAAGTCAAAAAAAGGGAACACGATTCTGTACCCCAGAGGCCAGGAAGCTTGTAGGAGGTGGTCTTAACAGCAGACTACAATAAATAATGATTCAGACGAGAAATTCAGAAATAATTGTTCTGTCAAAGCAACATCTACTCACATAGAAGAATCACTAGCGTTAAACTAATTTAATGAAGGTATTTTTTATATCTCCAATTTTCTTAAACTTTCTGTAGTTTCACAATTTCATCTTTCTCTCTATGTTCTAGCTTTCTTTTATGTACTAAATATACGTGATTTAATTTCTCCATGTAATGGAAGGAGAGTTCTACTACACTATCAACAGCTTTGTATTATTTGACTGATAATAGCTAAATATGCATAAAACTCTAAAATCTTTAACATATTTTTAGGATTATATACTTTAGTCAGCCACATGGCAAACTATTAAATCCTATATCCTCTATTCTGATACAAAACTAATTCTATCCTTACTGCCGGACAGCAAAATTACTAATCCCTCAAATTCTGTAAATCTCTGAGGAATAAATTGATTAGACTCTTGAGGCTTCAAGAACTACTTACTGTGACTAAGGGTAAAATAAACTGGCTTCATAGGAATGAATAAACAAGAAGAGAATATCTATTTTCTTTCAACAGAAACAAAGCACCAAGAGCAACATTAACAGAGTGTGTTCAAGCTATGAATGTTTAGAAAGAAACTAAGAAATATTACTTTGACTTTTCTAAAGAAAAAGGATTAGAGAATTTCGAAACTCTTAAATACCCCAAAATTTTTGCTGCTGTGTCAGTGAAGCTAAAATGAGGAAAACTGAATTATACTGTTTTACCTCATTTAAGTAGTTGGTCTTTAATGTTTATCAATAATAACCCCAGTTGAAGTAAAAAGTATTCTCAAAGTCTTATTAAAAACCCTTAAGCGTGGTTGTCTTCCACCCTGTTTGAAAAGCATACCACTCATCATCAAAATAATCCTTTATTCTGTTATCATATGTCATCTGATTTCCAACAAGCATATTCTACCCATTACTCCTGCAATTATTATAACCCAAGGAAGTATCAAAAATGTAAAGTATTTTAATGTATAGCATTATTTCCATTTTGCATCTTAATCAGTTATATTCTGAATGAAATTATTAGCACACTATTGTGTATAATTAATCAAAACACTACACAAAAAGGAATCATTATATATTTACCTCTCCATCAGCGAGAACGCATAACCCATACTTCTTAAAAACCAAATTGTGGATATCTTTCTCGCAAAAGTAGCTTTGCAACATTTTTTAAAAGACAGTCAAAACAAAAGACAGTAAAAGAAAATGCTGTTTGCTCTTCATTGTTTTCACTCCAGTAATAAACTACCCTTTCTAGAAAATACAATACTTTTCGTCTAGATCTCACTTCTTTATATCCACGTCAGGAAACAAAACAATCTCTTACTGAGGTCTAAAAATGATTGTAAGTGCAAAAGACCAGAATACAGTCCCTATTTGACCTCCTACATAAATTGTGTGTGTATCTTCTGAACTTAAAATGAAGCCTTTTACAGATTAATGTGACCTCAGGAGCTCTATTATTGTTTCTAAATAAATCAACTCAGAAAACATCCCCTAGGAAGTTTGGATCAAGTTACTGCAGCATGCAAAGGTAGTCCATTTGCTGAGTCTAAAATCCTAATATAATTTTCCAGTCAGATTCATGATTCAGCAACCGCAGTGCTCAGTGCTAGTGCTGCTGCTGACAATCGCATGAGCTTGTCTAAATGCCAGGGGAACTGTTTCCTTGCATCATTTAGCATTTTTGCCTACTCTGCACAGTACTGAGTCTCAATTAAACAACTTCCCCAGCATGTTACATTAAATTCTTTTTCTTCTACAGTGGAAGAAAAACAGTATACTTTGATAATTATATTGCAATGTAATTGTTTAATTTTGCACTAATCGTCAATTATAATTTTACTTTAAATTCTCTGTATCAAGGACAAAATAACAAACTAGACATCTAATACTCCGACAAACAATAGTCCCGACTTCAAGGTATAAATGCAACTTGAATGCTTGCCTTTCTCCACTGCAAAGACTTATTTCACATGTAATAAACTTAACAACAAATATCCCAGCATTCATATCAAATACAAAAAAAGTCATTACCCAAAAATGTAGTTTGTAACACTTCTAGGAACCTGCCAGTCCTCATTTTGTTACTACAACAGACAGACTGATCCGGTTCCCTGAGTCAGGGTTGAACTACCTCGCGTAACTTTAATTTCGTTGTCTTTAGCAATAACCTATGGCATCAAATTCTATTTGGGAGCTAGCTTGACAAATGTAATTAATTGGATGTCAAGCAATATGCTAGTTTTGTAATAACTGGAATGTTAACCATTGCAGTTAAGTCTTCCACTTCTGTTTCATAACTGTATAATTCTTGCAAAGAAAAGTCAATGCAAGTTTTTTTGGTTTGAATGTCTTACATTACCATTATCCCTTCCCCTTGCACTTTGTGCTAAGGACATGTAAATAATTTATGAAGACTACACTGATGGTGACTTCAACCCTTCAACTCCCTGCATTTTGAAAGAAGTGATTGTTCTGGCAGTATCTGCATCATCTTCACTACTACCACCTACCACTCGCTGCCTACCCCTCACCCTGACACACAGCTTTGCTTTTTTGTACAATTCCTCTTGTATTACGGAGTTATCTTTACACAATGAGATCACAATTACCTTGTATGTGCGGAAAAAGGCTTCTGGTGTTTAAGTCTTGCAAAACTTTTTTCTTTTTTTAAAATTTTATTAGCATTGCTCCCTCAGAGGAAAAAAAAATCTGACACATTTTAAGAGCACAATACCTTAGAAAATTTCTGTTTTCCATCTTCATAGTGAATTTCCACATAATTGGAAGATAGCAAGTCACTGTCAAAGAAAGGAAAAATCAAGATAACAAAAACCTGAATATTCTTTCTACTGCTATGGATAGGCTTGAGGGGGGCAGGTGTTTGTTAGAATTTTCAAGCATTTTTTCTTTCCTTGTAAATTAGTTTTTTTAAAAAATAAAACGAGTAGATTGTGTACAGTAAATGGTTTGCTGGCAACCAGAAAGTCAAGGTGTGTTAAAGAAGGAGGAATTTCATTCTGCAATCTAATCACCCATATTTTAGCTTTACAATTAGAATATCAGCCGTTTAAATATGCAAAAAAAATCCCATGATTTTAGAACTTGGTTTGCTGGCAGTAACTGGTACTGAAAAAAAAGTATGTTTAGTTCATTACTGTCTTCAGATAAGTTTTATGTTTTATCTAAAAGTTAAACATAGTACATGTAAGGCTGAACAGATACATACACAACTGCTCTGAAGACAAGTGTCTGCTTTACCTGTACCTCACTTTCATGACTGCAAATACTATATTTTTTCCAAAACCAGTAATGTTCTCTAAAAAAACCCACACAAACCCAAAACGATAAAACACAAAATATGTCCCAAGCATACTATTCCTTTTCCTCCTTTCACTTTTTCTTCTCAGATTTTTTTCTCACTCAAATTTTTTCCTACCTGTGGCAAGACAAATTTCTGAAGCATAAAATTTCCCATATTGTATTAATTTTAGATTAGCTAACCTGCACATACCCTGGGATAACTTCAATGTCCCATTCACCTCTCACTCCCTTAAAACCAGGGCTGCAGCATAGTGGCCCAGGGAGAGCAAAGCACTTAAATATGTTACTGGCCCAATCATATATGCAAGGTAAGCAAAAAAATACAATTAAAGGGTATGATAGAGGCACATGTATCACAACAAAAATATTGTTGCTGTGAATAAGGACCATCATCAAAATGGGGGCTGGTTAGCTCAGTCAGTTGAGTGTGGTGCTAACAATGCCAAGGATGCGGGTTCGATTCCCATTCAGTCCCCATGTGTTGCCTGATCTACTCGTGAGGTGGCGTCCCTGGTGACAGGGAGGCTGGATTAAAATGATCTCTAAGGTCCCTTCCAGCCTAGGCCATTCTATGATCATAATATGGAAGCCTGCTCTGACAAAACAGTTCTGATAAGAATTCACAACTAAGAACAATTTATGATAACGAGTATCTCAAACTCAGATTAGGCTATTAGCAACGCTGATAACACTTTAACTCTGGGACTACCAGTTCATAAAATCAATTCTTTCGGCTGCATTTATCAGACACTATACTCATCATAGAAGATCCTCCAGAAGTCAGTTACCAGTGGTTCTCTTAAAAGTCCTTTTTCATGGAAATGAGAAACCACATTATGGGTACTCTGTGCCTGCAAAACCAACATTAATAGCCATGAATAATTACTGAAGTCTCATCATTTGCCTTAACCTTCATTTTGACAGCAGTATTTAATAGATAAATGCAGAATTTAAAATAAATTCAGTTGCATAAAATCTTTTAAACTTCATTTCTGGCAGAGTAAGTCGTAAATTTTCTGGAAGAGAACATAATGCTTTATAAACAGTAAGCACTTGACTACAATGCAAACATTCACTTCGATGTGGCAAGGTTTGAAACTTCTAAAGAGGATTACATATACAATGCAATAAAACTTTACAGTGTTGATAATGTCCTTTTCTTTGCTTTTTTTCATACCTATTAAGAAGCCCAAGGACTGCCATGCTTAGTACTTAATTGGATGGTGAAACAAGGCTAGAGGCAACTGACACAAGTAGGAAAATGGAAAACTGATTAGATACAAGCATAAAAAAATCACTCAGGCTGGTTAAAAACACTGGCACTATGCTCAACTTAAAAGGGTCTTGCCTTTGCAGACACTTCTGCTTGAATCCAAGGAGACATTTGGTTTCCTTAAACAGATTCCATGATCAGCATTTACCTACCCCTTTCCAAACCCAGCTGAAATTTCTCACACCCCCTTTTTTGCCCTCTTCCAGCAACCTTACACGACTCATCTCAGAACTGCTTTCAGTGCCATCTAGTGCTTTTGGCATCTCGTAAGACTTGCAGTAGGTGATTTCCCACTGTGCCTACTGACTCACAACGAACTGTAGTTTAATTAGAGCATTTGCCTCTTAGATTTATCCCATTTCACGTCACATAAGAGCTGCTCAAAATTTCTGCAGTCCACCCTTTGCATAATCTTTCCAGAGTTCAGTGCTCTTTTCCTGGATTTTGGCTGAACTGCTGTTGTAAGCCAGTTGCTTCCTTCATCTGCCAATCCTTTCCATTCTTTAGCTTCTCATTACTTCCAACTGCAAAGGGATTCCTGATTCAGGTAGTAAATAGAGTGTTCCACATGAAAGGATATCTAACGTGACATGCTTGTGATGGAACACTCCATATATACATACATATATATAAATATATATATATGACAAGAATAAAGCAAGGATGCAGCAGACAGTGGCTTTTCCAGTAGACCCTACACTTTTCTCAATGCTGACTTTCCAATGTTATTGCCCTGTGGGATCTACTGGATACAAGCACACTGACAAAATTCTCTGTACTGAACAAATTCTCTACAAAGAAAATCGAGACTCGATATTCATAATGTACTTCCCAAATGTCATGCTATAAATAAAACGTATCTTTAAATTTGTGAACCACCCTTTTGCCAAATATAACACAGTATCTACCACCCTGAAGCTGGAGTAGAAAAATCTTTCACAAATCCATTCTCATGCTACGCTGTAACAGGGTATTCAACACTAGATTCTGATCATTATTATGTTCTTAAGCCTGTCACAGATAACCACCAGTGTACTGCAAGGGCATTTTTCTCCTAACATTTCCCAAGTAATAACTTTCAACCTTCCACTTAAAAAAAATGATCAGCCAGTTTCTCCTTAAACTGTATGACTCCACCTTGGCAGGTACCTGATTTTTGCCAAGTGCCTTGTGTTACTTATTTCAAGTATGTGTCTACACGAACAAATATGTTAAAGAACACTTTACTTCCAATCATTCAGAAATCCCTCAACGTATACTGCTAATCTGAGACAACTATGATCTTCTTCAGGGGAACAGGACAGCACATTTGCAGGCATTTTCCAACATGGCTTAGCTAGTACACAAAACTAGTTGCTTCTGTAATAAAGCAAATACATCTGTAACTGTGCTTACAAATGGTTAGTACTGAAATGCGATATTATTGCACAGAATCTAGGACTGAAAAATCCAGCAAAAATGTTCCACTCCTGATGCAAAGAAAAAGATAGAAATTTGGGTAAAGGAATTTGTTCTGTATTTTGCTAAAGCTCCAGGAATAACAGCAGCTACAAAAATAAGCATAAAATTGATACTGCAAATTTTCCCTACTGAAACTTTTACCTGTTATTAATGCTGACAAATCTGACAAGACAGGAGAAAATATTTAAGGGGGGAAAAAAAAGAACACTTAACCAAAATAACTTTCAAACATTTTTTCCAACATGGAAGACATCAGGAGAAGGGCACTGTAATTTTACCAGTAGGCGTGATAGGATTCTTTACACAAGTGGCATGAAAAAGAAAGGCCTGGAACACACGGATTAAAAGCTCACATAGAGGGTACAAGTGCCCAAGGAATGAAATACAGAACTCATGCATAAAGTAGGAAGTCTCCACATCACAAAAAAACTCTTCTTCCTTCATTATCATTTGCAGAATGCCTATATTTACCTCCAAAAGGCAGTCTTGAATTTTAGAAAATACACTTGTGTCTCATCTATATAGGACTGTGTTTTATCACCTTTCAGTTGATCCATTTACATTTTGATTGAGCAGAAATTAATCCGTTACAGCAAATTTGTTTTTCAATGTTATGAGTGCCAGAAACAGCACAAGGTTTAATTGAAATAATTGTGTAACTCATGATCACATCAGAGAAAAGGCATATTTAAGCTAGTAACACATTAGTATGATGCCTTACAATGAACACATCAAATTGCAACATGCTGGATGAAATCATGAAAAAAAATTCAGTCTGATGTGTCTTTTTCATTAGTTCCTGCCACCCTGTTTTGTTTGTCTTAGGTAATTGTTTTTATTAAGCTGTCCTGCATCACCAGCTCTTCTATGTGAGTTACACTGAGAGAAGCAAAATAAGCAGCAAAGGGGATCTGTCATTCCCAGTAGCTGCTGCCTTTGAAGACACAGGCCAGCTGTTAAAGCAAGCAGCAGATGCTTTCTGAAAGAACACATATCCACTTCCCCGACACATATCTCACTGCTGCCATTTTCATTAGCAGGAGAGAGGCAGTGTGAAAAAGTGGCTTACCTCAGCTGGCATCTAACTATCCCAACGAAATGAATTGATTTGGTTAAATAAAGGCTATGAAATGATTAAAAGATGTCTCATACACAAATAATCAAGTTCTTTTCCATAAACCTAGTACACAGCCTTTGGAAAATCGGACTTCAGATGAATTACCTTTCTTGCACATTTCTTAAATTATCTTTATACTAACCTACTATCAAGCAATAATTCATTATTTTTTTAAGTATTCTGAAACAATTCAAGCACAGTACTAGGGTCTAAGCAACATAGTTTAGTTGAATTACCTAACAGGACACCCATCATATGTTTTCACCCATTTCACAGATACAGTTTAACAGCACAATAGTATGTGATACAAACTGAAACCTTGCTGGAGCCAGTGCAGAGGAGGGCAACGAAACTGGTGAAGGGCCTGGAGAATAAATCTTATGAACAGTCATTGAAGGAACTGAGACTGTTCAGTTTGAAGAAGAGGACGCTAAGAGGAAAACTCATCGCTCTCTACAACTACCTAAAAGGACATTGTAGAGAGGTTGGTGCTGGTCTCTTCCCACAAGTAATTAGTGATAGAACAAGAGGAAATTGTTTCAAACTGCAACAGGGTAGGTTTAGACTGGACATTAGGAAAAAAAAATTTCACATAAAGAGTAGTCAGACATTGGAATAGGCTGCCC